AAAGGACCAGAGTAATCTAATCTAAATTATATTTGTTCAGACTTTATTAAACTCAAGAGCCAGGATTTCTATTATTTTCCCTTTCCCTAACCCTACTCACAAAATGGATAAACAAAAATGCAAGATAATATGTTTTTACGTAAATGAGATTGTTTTGTAAAAGTAGCTGTAACATAAATGGCTTACCCAACCTATTTCTCAGATCAAATTGGACTCTGTACTGCTTTCTCTCTCCGGTGTAGCCAGGAAGTCATATGATCAATTCAAAGTGGGTGTAAAACACTACCATTCTGATCTGGTAGTATTTGATATCTACTTGCCACTAGCATAAACAATTACACAAGGTGCAGAACAGAGAATTTTGCCACAGAGTATTACAGAGGTATGAATTATATTTTTACTCTTTAGACATGGACCTTATCTTACCCCGACCTATCATCACAGAGAAAAGAATCATATAATAAATGGTTGAAATAATCGTGACCCACCACTCATATTCAGTGGCTATCCAATGATGATATTTTGCAAACAACTTTGTCAGAGAGATTCTCACACACATCTCCCGGTTTCCCCACTACCAGGTTCTCCAAGTGTTTTAGTCTGCAGGGAACCAGGAGAGGCTCCACAGAGCATAGTTTAAAGAAATGTTACAATTAAGAGCAACTCAGAAGCACGTCACTGAATAAACAGAGTAGTTTCATACAGTGATATCTGTTGCACAAAAGCAACATAGTTTTTACCACAGAGAAACCATTGTGCATATGTAACCCACACACCTCCTGGGCATGGTGTTCTGTCCCCTCTAGTGGCACTGGGACCACTTAGAGATTAATGAGTCTGCTACAGCCTTAGCTAAAAGGCATGTGGCTTTTAGCTCATGCAGTAGAGACTCATGTATTTAGTTTCAGAGATCCCTGGTTCGATCCTGCCCTCTGATGACTGGGGTCTGTCGGTGTTACACATATGCATACTGTGATGACAGTGTGCGCAAAACTGTGTGTGTTGAAAATAAACTTTCATCCATCTTCATAATCATCTATTTTAAAAAAAATAGATGATCATGGGCCCCCCAATTACACAGAGGCACAGGAACAGGCCCATAGGTGCCCCAGTGCCCTCTTTAAGCACCCAATATTAATCATCACCATTTGACAATTGCAGAATCTTGGTAAAAGCTAAAAACTACAGGTTCTAGGCCAGTGGTGGGCAACCTGTGGACTGTCAGGGTAATCCACTGGCAGGCTGCCAGACAGTTTGTTTACATTTGCATGGCCGCTCGCAGCTCCTAGTGACTGCATTTCGCTGTTCCCGGCCAATGGGAGCTGCAGGAAGTGGCGGCCAGCATGTCCCTGCAGCCCACACTGCTTCCCACAGCTCCTATTCGCCGGGAACAGCGAACCACGGCCACTGGGAGCTGCAGGCGGCCATGCAAATGTAAACAAACTGTCTGGTGGCCTGCCAGCAGATTACCCCGATGGGCCTCAGGTTGCCTCCCACTGATCTAGGCCTTCATCCCTGAAATTCCACCACTTAAATAGAGAATAAGTCTAGCTGTTCCTGTTGCACCAAAGGATTCCAGACACCACATAATAGCATAAAAGCACCTCAAAACTTAGACATGGCATCTAAACCTAGCTAACTTTTGATCCCAACATCACAAATTCAGCTGCTATTTAGAGAACATCTGGATTATTCTGATGGAATAGGAGAATGCATGCCAAATTCAGGATGGATTGATTTATATCACTGATTTTAATCATAATTTAAATCACCAGACAGGAAGCCTTAATTTAAATAATCAGTTTTATACTTTTGCATTTATACTTTCTATTTATTATTCTAAAGAAAGTTGATTCTCATTGTTTGCAAAAAGAAGTTCCAAATTATACCTACCAAGGAGGATACACTAGAGCTATACACCCTTATTTAAGCAATTATATATCTTAACATTTATTATGTTAGAAAATGATGAATGACACGTTTTTTATTTACTTGATGATTTCATTTTTACCTATCATTTGTGTCAAGCTGCATTTGAAATTCTATTAAAAATACACAAAACCAGCATTGTAAAATGGTTTTTTTCTTTGTTAATTAAACTACCTTAAATATGCATGATAAATGGGGGGAAACCCTAAATTTATCAAACTAATTAATGATTCAAACAAATAAAGTACTATCTGTGGTTAATTGAATGGGTTGTTTCTCATAGACTTTAAGGTCAGTAGGGACCCTCGTGATCATCTAGTCTGATCTCCAGCACGGACCAAGGAGTCTAACATGTAAACAAGTCACAAGCTCAAACAAAAGCCCATGGTGCAATGAAGGTTGTTTCTGGTCAGCATGTCCTTCAAGATTTGAAATCTAGCAGATCTCATCCTCTCACACCTCATTTTTATTCACAGATTGGAATAGGAAAACAAGCTTTTCTTCTTTTTCAACTCCCAGTCCATTTTTCAACTTTAACTGAATTAATCACTGAAATGCACGAGCTGAATAAACTGAAAAGAAGAAAATATTGTCTCTGCACCTGCAGAAGAGACTACTGCTGTCAAAAACTGGCATAGCTGTTCACCAAAACCTGGTTCCAGGTGCTTAGCCAATGATTTCCAACAGTTCAGTAACCTTTCTTTAACACTTTAGCAGCAAGCATACTTTTTTAAAATGTAGTTTAAATGACCTTAATAGATTATAGTAAATTTAGTCCTTAATATAGGTTGCCATGTTTTCACATTTTAAATAGGTTTATTTTTATAACGAAAAATGCATTTAAGAAATCTTTTTTTAAAATCAACTTTGACTAAATGACTAAATTTAGGCAACAACATTTGGACAAAGAGGTGCCAATCAAAATTATCTGGACCAGCATAATACGGTTGCCAAATTAGAGTTCTTGCAGGGTTTTTTAAATCAGGAAGTGTTGAGGCCCAGATGTTTTTTGGTTAAATAGTAGAAGCAACGCTTACTCTCCATTTCAATAATATGGATATCTAATTTGGGGCCAAAATTTGGAAGGACTGAAATGTCAGATCAGTATTTTGGGGCCAGATTTTTAAAGTGCAGTAGTATCTGCTATGTTCTACATTCCAATGAAAACTGAAAGCTTGAAAACCACCAGGATCCCCTAGAATCCCAGTACCAGACTGAGGCTTTTGTAGTACTCACTGTTGTACTGAGCTGCAATAACATCTTTTTAGTTTGTATGTTTTTGCTGAAGCACTAGCCGATAAATTTGTTTTGTATTTAAGATGTCTAATTTGCAAGGTGGGGACCAAAAAGTAGCTAGATCTACATTCCAGCAGGTCCCAGAGCTGAGTTTTTATGGCACACTCATGCCAAGATGTACTGGGGCCACACAGTTATTAGTAGAGTAGCAGCTAACTTAGGGCTGGTTTACACTTCGGAGGGAGAAGGGGGAAAAAAATCGATCCAAGTTACACAACTTCAGTTCCGAGAATAACGTAGGTGAAGGCGACATACCCTAATCTACTTACTGCAGTGTCTTCACTGGGGACGTGCCGATGGGAAATGCTCTCCCGTCGATTCCCCTTGCGCTTCTCGTTGATGTGGAGTACCGAAGGTGACACTAGAGCAATGTAAGCTGTCTTACATCGACCTAACTCTGTAAGCATCTACGTTACACTGTTGCTCCTGCTGATGTCAGTCACCAACTACATCAACTTAATAACTCCATCTCCATGAGAGGTGTAGCGCTTAGGTCAATGTAATTAGGTCAACGCAGTGTTAGTGCAGACACTGCGTTACTTACATTAGACTGGCGTCTGATAGGGTTGCCAACTTGCTACTTGCACAAAACCAAACACCCTTGCCCTGCCTCTCCTCCGAGGCACCACCAGCCCCCACCCCCGGTCCCTTGCTCTCACTCACTTGCTCATTTTCACTGAGCAGGCTCAGGGGGCTGGGGTACAGGAAGGGGTCAGGGCTCCGACTGTGAGTGCGGACTCTGGGGTGGGGCCAGGGATGAAGAGTTTGGGGTACAGGAGGGGGCTCCGGGCTGAGGGGTTGGAGTCAAAGTGTTCGGAGTATGAGAGGGGGACTCTGGACCAAGGCAGGGGGTTGGGGTGTAGGAGGAGGTACAGGCTCTGGGCAGGGAGTGCAGGTTACAGGGTGGGGTTCAGGGTGAAATGGGGGGTTCAGGGTGTGGTAGGGGATGCTGGGCTTGGGCAGAGAGTTGGGGTGAGGGCTCTGGCTGGAGGTGCAAGCTCTGATGTGGGGCCAGGGATGAAGGATTTGGGGTGCAGGAGGGGGTTCGGGCATGGGGAGTGAGGGCTCTGGGATGGGGGTGAGGGGTTTGGGTAGAGGAGGCGCTCAGGGCTGGGACTGAAGGGTTCGGAGGGTGGGAGGGGGGGATCAAGGATTGGACAGAGGGTTGGGGCACAGGGGAGTGTGAGGGCTGCAGCTGGGGTGTGGGCTCTGGAGTGGGCATGAGGGGTTTGGGGTGCAGGAGGGTGCTGCAGGCTGGGATCAAGAGGTTCAGAGGGAAGGAGGGGGATGTCACAGGGGGGTCAGGGGTGCAGGATCCGGGCAGCACTTACCTTAAGCAGCTCCCAGAAGTAGCAGCATGTCCCCCCCTCTAGCTCCTATGTGGAGGTGCAGCCAGGTGACCCTGCCCCATCCACAGGCGTTGTCCCCTGCAGCTCCCATTGGTCACAGTTCCCGGCCAATGGGAGCTGCAGAACATACCCTCCCAGTCCCTGGCCACCCCAGTGCCTAGGGGCCTGGTGGCCTCTTCTGGCAGTAGCACAGAACTAGGGCAGGTAGGGAGCCTGCCTTGGCCCCAGGCCCCCGCTGCACCTCCAACCAGACTTTTAACAGCCCAGTCAAAAACCGGATGCCTGGCAACCCTAGGGTAGTCTTGCCCTCATTCTCCATCTAACCAGCAAAAGTAGGGAAGGCAGGACCCAAGGAACCACTATCCTTCCCCAGAATGGGGTTATCCCCTTCCCCGGGTCTGAGAACACAGCAGTGTCAATACTCACTCCCTGTAACACCCTCCAAAGGCTCCTGGCTGCGGCTTTACAGTAGAAGAGAGAGGGCGCGGCCAGGCCCAAACTCGACCTCTCATCACTGAGTGCGTACGTGCGTGCAAGGTGAAGGAAGGACCCCGAGAGCTGCTCACCTGGGACAGGTGCAGCTGGGGGGGTGTCTATTCAAGTGCCTGATTTTTACACACACATAAACACCAACGCCATGATGGGTGTATTGGTTGGAGTGGCTGGTCGGGGCCCCTTTGCCAAACTCTGAGAGCATATTTTTAAATTCTTTTTATTCCCCACCCCGCTTCCGATCAGGCATAAACAAAGGACGGCTTTAACGAGTGGTGCCGCAAAGCGCGGTGAGGTTTGCACGACAGTCCGGAGAAGGAAGGACCCCCCTTCTTTGGTGCTGCCCGGGAAAGAAGATGGCAGCTGGGGAAGCGAAGTCTGTGCTCTTCGTGTGTCTGGGTAAGTGCGGGGCGGCCGCTCAAGCAGGACCGGAGCGGGGACGCGTCCCCAGCGCTGTGGTGGGAAGGGGACAGGGGCTCCTGGGGGTTGAGGCACCCATGGTTGGTGGATGGAGAGAAGGCCGTTCCCTCCTCGCTCCGGGACAGCCGCAGGACGGGTGGGGAGGGATGAGCAGCCTCCCTACTGGAAAGGGGATAGGAGTAGAGTCCGTCCTCCCGTACCCTGAATAGAGTCTCCCCTCCCCACCAGGAAGGAGGAGAAGGTGAGTATATCAGTGGGGGGGCTTTCTTTCAGGGGAAGGGTTGATGAGCACCCTGAACAGGGGAGGAGCTCCTGTCAATGTAATAAACACTTCTGGTATCTCCCACCCACCATCATTCCCCTTCCTAATCTATTTGCCCACCCCAACAAGCTGTTATCTCTGCCCGGAGGGCTTAGTACAGTGTCATAGTAAGTGTAATGCCAGGCTGTGTGTTCATGTTTAATACCTACCTACCAAAGTTTGCAGAGAAGTTACGATACTATTCAGTATTTTCATTGATGAGTTGGCTAATGGGACAAAGAGTATGCTTATAAAATTGGAATGTGACACCAGGCTTGGAGGGGTTGCAAACAAATTGGAGAATTTTCTAAAATCAACAAGATGAACATCAGTGAAGAGAAATGAGAAGTATTTCACTTAAAAAGAAAAATTAAATGTTTTATTACAAAATGGGAAAAAACTGACTAAGTGGTGGTCCTGCTGGAAAGGATCTGGGAGTTAGTGGATTACAAATTGAATATGAGTTAACAATGTAATGCAGTTGTGAAAAGGGCTAATATCTTTTTGAGGTGTATTAATAGGAGTGTCATATGTAAGACAGGAGTCTTACAGATAGGAGTGTCATATGTAAGACACAGGAGGTAAGTGTTCCACTCCACTCTGCACTGGTGAGGCCTCAGCTGGAGTACTGTGTCCGGTTCTGAACTCCACATTTTAGGAAAGATGTGGACAAATTGGAGAGTCCAGAGGAGAACAACAAAAATTATAAAAGGTTTAGGAAGTCTGATCTATGGTGAAAGGTTAAAAAATATGGGCATCTTTAGTATTGAGAAAAAGGACTGAGGGAGAATCTGATAGATGTCTTCAAATATGTTAAGGGCTGTTAAAAAAGGACTATATTTAATTTTTCTCTATGTTCTCTGAAGGCAGGACAAGAAGTAATGGGCTTAATCTGTAGCAAAGGAGATATAGGTTAGATATTAGGAAAAACTGCCTAATATAAGGGTGGTTAAGGTCTGGAATACACTTCCAAGGGAGGTTGTGGAATCCCCATCATTCTGAGTTTTTTTTTTTTTTTTAAGAACAGGTTAGACCTGTCAAAAATGATCTAGGTTTACTTGGTCCTTCCTTGGTGCAGGGGGCTGGACTTAGATGACTTCTGACGGTCTCTTCCAGCCCTGTATTACTATGATTCTGTGAGTCTGGTTACCTGGCCCTTAAAATCTCCCTGATGCACTGGAAGATGATCCTTGAGAAGACAAGTCTTCATTTGTTAAATTAGATCTGTGTTATGGAACCATCAATAAATATATGCACACAATCTGCTTTGCATTTGTAATGATAAATAGATATTCATTACACAGCAAATTACAGTTTAGTGCTTGATAATGTCTTCTGTCTGCAGTAAGTAAAACAGATAATAACCATTAATGGAACACATCAGACTGTAAACTCTCTGGGGCAGGGACATGGCTTACTCTGTGTGTCTAGTCCAATGTTAAATAATACTAGAGAAACTTGGGAATGGAGAGAATAAATCATATTCGCTATTTTCAGGGAAGAATGAACAAAGTCAGAAAGTGCAAGCAATGGGGTGAAATCATAAATGTTGTCAACTCCCCTGGAATTTCCCTTCATCTTATATTAGCTACCCAAAAGAGTTGGTGCCATATGACAACAAGGATTGAATGATGTGGGAAACAGCTTTATTTTTTAATAAAGGCTGACCTGTCAAAGTTTCATTCATTTAAAGTATTTTAAGATTGCATTGAGCTTTCCTTCTGCCAGTGTTGGGTTTTGCTGTGTTTCAGCAGTTATCTAAAATTTCCCTGTGCCCTAAAAAGTAATCTTGATGCATTAGTATAATTTTAAGTATATGTGATATTTTTTGATTAAAAAGAATAAAAGCTGAGCCCAATCAATTCAAAAATATGAATGTTATTTTTAACACCCATTGCAAATATCTGAAACTTCCAATATTTCAAGTGTTCCGCTGTTTGAAGGGAGAGACAGACTGTCATTTCTGAAGATATCCACTTGAGAGTTGATTCTAGAGAGTACAAGGATTCATGTGAAGTCAGGTTGTTTACGTCTACATTTGTTTTGAAAAACTAATAGTCAAATATTCACTTAACATCTGCTTTCTATTTGTAACAAGAGAAGCAGATATTCATTACACAGCAAAATATAACCTACTTAATAGTTGCATAATTAGATTGCTTCTGAATTTTTTCCTACCACAGAAGAATAAATGAAGTATCCAGCAACATAAGTAACCCAAATACATAAAAAGGAATTGGAACTGAGAAGAGGTGAACAAGTTGCTGTTTTTATTTAATTTAAGGGAAGACTTTTTTTAAAAAAAATTACTCTTTTTACACTTATGTAGTATCTTTTGTTGTAGTAGCTCACCCATTAATTTACCTATACCAATGCAACCTTTAATGTGTATGTACTGCACCATTCTAAAGTGGGGGTTACACAGGTGCATTTACTCTGGTAGTTTCAGATTAAGTTACATTGATGTAAATTCATCTTTATAATGATGCTGCATATGTACATTACCAGTGCAAATTTCTATAATGTAGACAGTGGATGAGGGACGTTGTGTTTCTTCATCTGAGAGATCCTGATTGTAATCCTTTTAAAAAATAATCCATACACTTTTTGCAGGAGTTGATGGATGGCTTTTGTGTTCTGGTGAAATTCCAATTTATCTTATTTATTATAAAACTAGGTAATATCTTTTGCATGCTTGTATTCCCCCTACAGTTTCAATTAGGTATGTCATCCTTTACTTTTATTGAAGTAGTATAGCAGTGCTTCTCAAACTTTTTTCTCATGGACCACTTGAAAATTGCTGAGTGTCTCGGTGGACCACTTAATGATCTTTCCACATGTTATATGTACCATTAGCTAACTATTGTAAAGCACTTTGGATAAAAGCGCTATCTAAAAAAAATTGCTAATAATGAACGTTTTTTTGTTCTGCAAATAAAAGCATACAACTCATATTTTAATATCAGTAATCTTATCTCTCTAATGTGATAGATGTGCCCTCTCTCCCCCGGCCACGGCAGCCCCTGAGCTGGGGCTGGGAAGGAGGGCAGTCTCTCCACAGTAGCTGCAGCCCTGGAGCTGGGGAAAGTCATCTTTCTCTGGCCACCGCAGCCCTGCACATCTCAATTTCCCCCCACCCCCTCTTCTAACCCCACTTCGCCCTACCACCTACCCCCTATTCCCTCCAAGGCCACCACCTCACCTTATATGTGCATCTTTTCCAGGGTCCACGCACCTAATTAGTGGAGCCATGCCTGAGCGGCTCCACTAATTAAGTGGGTGGCGTTTCATTCTCTCTTATGCAGCCACCCAGGCATGCACCTTAGAGGGAACTATCTGCGGACCTCCTGAATGGAGCTCGCGGATCACTGTTTGAGAACCTCTGGTATATAGGGCTCTTGTGCAATATCACATATCTAGAAGTGTACTCTGACCCCTCCTAGCCTTGCATAGCTATGAAGCATTCTGCCTATAGAAAAAGCAAGTTTCATCACTCAACCATGCTAACATTACTTCTCTCTTAGTGGAGGGACTATTTCTTCTGAGAAAATAGTCCATTCTTCGTATGTGTTCTACCCATGATGTCCCCTAAGTCTGTCAACAAGGGTGTCGATTGGCATTGAGTTATCTCTTGCCCCAGTTAATCATTGCAGGGCTGAGGCATATTGCTGGTACAATATGGGGAAGTTTGCATTTTTCTCCTGTCTGTGGTACCTACTCTGTTGCTTAAGAGATTGAAGGGAAAAGTCTATTTTGTGTATATTGTCATCACTTTCTATATGGTGGCTTTCCAAATAGATTTACCAGTGTGGTAAATAATAAATTTTATGTACTACAAAAGAACCACATTGTTTCGCGAACTGCAGATGCACATACTGTGTTGCATTTTAATTACCATAGTTTCTGTATGATCATAAAATGTGAAGATCTTATTTACTGTAATAAGATAATTTGCACAAAAGGGGTTAGAACTAAGTTGCTTCAGAGTCTTAATTCTGAATTTCGGGACATGACTGAGACAGTCTCAAAAGTTAATGTTGCATTAAAATATCTTCGTTTCGCTTCCATCTTTTTTAATGAATTAAATGACTTTCACAGATGTTTTAGAAGGAAGTGAAATCTATTAATTACTGTAGGATTACTTTCTTTTGTTGAATGACCCTTCAAAAGGTGATGTTAATGAAGCAGTAATTTAAACTTTTTAAAAACTGATCTCATCTTATTGTATCACTGCCAAAAACCACCGCCACCATCCGGTACTGTTCAAAATCAAAAATGGAACTCTGATTTTTGTGAGGTGAAAGAAAGTGACTTCCCTTCAATGGAAAAACAAATATACCCTATTGATTTGAATGTGAACTAAAACATCAAAAAAGTGTGAATTGTTTGTTTGATATCAAGCACCGCTGTAACAGAATATTAAATGATAACCGCTATTGTCTCTGTGAGAAGCTTCAGAATAGATTCATCTGGGTAGCAAGTATTACTGGATTGCTTAGGCTATAATTTAGTATCCACCACTCATCTGAAGGTCTATAACCATGTTATATAACTTTCCTTCAACTTATTTTAGTGTGCAATATGCAATAGGCTGAAAGTGAAATGTATTTCAGGCTTATTTAATGTTGTTTCAGTTTAATTATGTGGCAAGACATTTACTTCAACCATTGGCACACCAGCAAAATCCCATTGTCCTCTCAGTAGGTTACTGTGTGTCCAATAATACTCCTTTTCCTTACAGGCTACTCCTTCAGACAGTATTCACTGTTTAAAAACCTGCCTTTGTCAGGCTGGATTAATTTTAAATCACTATTTTTAATCATGATTTAAATCAGCAAGCAGGAAACCTTTACTTAAATCATCCATTTTAATCTTGTTTTGCATCTGTTCTTTTTGCTTTCCTAAAGACAGGTTCATTCACATTGATTGGTATAATCATGAAAGCATTTTGATTTGCAAGTAAATATAGCCTTTACACTAAATTTTGTATTTCTTTTTGCTAGCCATGAGGATGCACCATATACACTTATGTAAGCAATTACACAGGTTTATGTACATTTATGTAGATTCTTAATTTTTATATTTTTATTATTTTGGAAAATGGAATTTTTTTATTACTATATTAATTTTTTTACTCGTGATTTTCCAAATGCAGCTTGACAAATTTGAATTCAATTAAAAATTCACAGAAATCCATTTTAAAGTTGTTTATTATTTAAATAAAAACTACCTTAGAGTGCTGGGAGCATAAACTCCTTTTTTTTTCTTTTTCAAAAACATCTTTTGCATTTAAAACTAATTGATTTATTAAACAAAACAGGAAGTGTTAACTGTTAGTGACTTTAATTGATTGCTTCTGGTCACCATGCCCTTTGAGGTTTTTAGAGCTAGTAGAGCTCATCCTCTCCCTCCTCAAATTTATTCGTAGATTAGCAAAGGAAAACAAGCTTTCCTACTTTTTTCAACTCCCATTTAGTTTCTCAAACTTGAATGAACTAGTCCAAATTAAGGAAACACTCTCTGTGCACCTCCAGAAGAGACTCCTGCCATCACAAGTAGCTCAACAACCCCCTAGTTCCAGGTGCTGAGCCAGTGCTTTCCACCAGATCAGTGGTTTGACTTTTCCTGAGTCTTCAACAGAATACTTTATTACCTTCCCTTTGAGTCTGAAAGAATGGAAGTATAGTGTTTTACTCCAGTGGAATAATATCATACTTTTTAGTTATCATGAACATAAATGGCATATCATAACTGTGCTTTCAATTTTCCAAAACATTTGAAGTGGGGAAAGGGTAGAATATGAAAAAGCAGACTGTGGGATGAAAGTTTTTATCTATGGAGGTATCATTAAAAAGAGGAGCCCAAACAATAGCATTGGCAGACTCTTGCTTTGGTACTGAACTTTATTTACTTTGGGCAAGGATGTGATATATTCCCAAATATTTTTAGCATTCTGCAGTGTTTGTTTAAAACATTTTTAAGGGGTAAAAAGGCAATGGAAAATTTTCTCTCAACAACGATGCTGGCCATTAAGATAAATACTTCAAGCAAACTTTTGCAAATCATCCAGTAAATCATAGTCAGAAATGTATCCTACTTGTTGCCAGTGCATAGAGGATTTGTGGGGATGGGACATCTGAAGACCCTAGAAGTTCCAGACTGTTATGAGTAAAACTATGAAAGACAAGACAGAAAATGTCAGTATTAACATCCATTTGAGATACAGTTCAAAATTCTGCTTTTTCAATTATGGTTACAGAAAGTCTTTTTGTGGAGGGGGACAAAAAAGGCAATGTAATTACACCATACAGGAGGGGTACAAGATTTGGGATCATATGCAAGGGATACGTGACCCCTTGTGTGGCAAGTTCCATGGGGCAGTACCTACACTCCCCTGGTGCAGTGAAATGGAAATAAACAGAGACTGCTCCAGAGGCCTTGGCTTGACTCCACTGCTGTGGATTCGTCTAGGGGATATGATAAAATAAACTGTAAAAGTACTATGTGAACTAAAATCCTGTCCTATCTTGCTTCTTTTACCATAGATAAAATTTAGTTCAATCTCTTGTTTCTTTAGGGAACATTTGCCGATCACCCATAGCTGAAGCAGTTTTTAGAAAACTTGTAACTGATGAAAACATTGAAAATAAGGTCAGTTGTTTATTTTTACTGTTGCCAAAATATACTTTCTTCTACCAGTCAGTATTACATAAGCTGCGGGAAGGAAAACATAAACATTTGAATTTGTTTCTCTGTAGTGGAGGATAGACAGTGCAGCAACATCTACTTATGAAATAGGCAACCCTCCTGATTTTCGGGGACAGACTTGTATGAGACAGCATGGCATTATCATGAATCATATTGCCAGACAGGTACTGTACTCTTATTTCCTTTAAATGTGTATTTGTGTTTTTTATTGTTGTTGTTGCAGTGGATGACGGACAGTGCTGCTGTTTCTGACTGGAACGTGGGGTGCTCCCCAGATGCAAGGGCTTTAAGCTGTCTAAGAAATCACGGCATTGAGACAGCCCATAAAGCGCGGCAGGTAGAAAAGAGTACATTTTATTTCTTGACAGAACTCATAATTTTGTTCAGCCATAATTTCTCATACCAATCTTAACAGCCGTTTGATGAGTATATGGTATGTGTCAGATTGAATATTAAATATTAGGAGGATTGACTATTAAGTGAGATTTTCAAAAGCACTCAGCATTGGCTTCACTCTTCTAGTTGAAGTCTATGGGAGGAGACTTAGGCCAACAGTTGAGTGACTTTGAAAACCCTACCTTTAAATGTTTAATATTCTTTCTCTGAGGCATATTTCTTCTATTTTGAATAATTTTGCATTGTCTTATCTTGTGAGTCCATGGCACATCCCAGGCACGTGAAGGAACTGATACGAAGGGCAGCATTTATATTGTACAGGTCCAATAGATGACCTGGCTTGTACTCTGCCCTGGTACTGCTGCTCTTAGGGTCAAAATTCTTTGAGTTGAAGGAGCTCCTGTCTCACACTAAGGAGCTCAGACCAAGAGTGAAAATAATATCAAAATATCTTCAAAGGAGAATTACAACTAGATAATTTTTGTAAACATAACTTGGGGCATTCTCGCTAAGAGTCAGGGCAGCACCATTCACTAAACGGAAATAGTCTGAAGTTTTGGAAATGCCCACCTCAGTTTTTATTTAGTGAGTATATTTCAGGCATTGCATTCCAGAGAGAGATGCACTGAAATAAACATAACTTCATGTATTTAAATGACTTAGACATTCAAATAAATGCACATAACTTATTTCCATTAACTATTCTCTGTGTATAGAGTGTTCCTTTAGGACCTGACCTTTCCTTAGCTTGAGTTCATCCCACTAGTTCTTGCATTTGACACAAAATCAAGTAGTCTTGTTAGCATCTTTCCTTTTTGTTCCCTTCAGAATTTTGGTAGACCTTATTGAGGTCATCCTTTACTTTTTCTGTTTCCAAAGAGTACACGCTTAGTTCCTCTAACCTTTCTGACTACATTCCCTCAATCATACTAACTGCCCTCCAGTTGACTTTTCCAGTTTCCAATTTTTATGTAACAACGCTGTGAAAGTTCCTTCCCCACTCTGAACTCTAGGGTGCATATGTGGGGATCTGCATGAAAACCCCCTAAGCTTATTTTTACAAGCTTAGGTTAAAACTTCCCCAAGGTACAAACTATTTTACCTTTTGCCCTTGGACTTTTTTTTTTTTTTTTTGCTGCCACCACCAAGCGTCTAACAAATATATAATCGGGAAAGAGCCTGCTTTGGAAATGTCTTTCCTCCCAAAACCCTACACCCCCTTTCCTGGGGAAGGCTTGATAAAAATCCTCACCAATTTGCATAGGTGAACACAGGCCCAAACCCTTGGATCTTAAGAACAATGAAAAAAGCAATAAGGTTCTTAAAAGAATCACCTCTGTAAAATCGGGATGGTAAATACCTTGCAGGGTAATCAGATTCAAAACACAGAGAATCCCTCTAGGCAAAACCGTAAGTTACAAAAAGACACAAAAACAGGAATATACATTCCATTCAGCACAGCTTATTTTATCAGTCATTTAAACAAAACAGAATCTAACTCAGAGCTAACCAGATTACTTACTAAGTTCTAAGACTCCATTCCTTTCTGTTCCCAGCAAAAGCATCACACAGACAGACCGAGCCTTTGTTTCTTCCCCCCTCCAGCTTTGAAAATATTTTGTCTCCTCATTGGTCATTTTGGTCAGGTGCCAGCGAGGTTATCCTAGCTTCTTAACCCTTTAGAGGTGAAAGGGTTTTTCCTCTGGCCTGGAGGGATTTTAAAGGTGTTTACCCTTCCCTTTATATTTATGACACATGCCCCGCCCCCCACAAAATCACAGATAGGGTGAAACACTGGCTGGGATTTCTTCCTGGAGCTCTAGGAGAAAACATAGTTAATAAGACACATGCACCTCTAAATATACTACCTAGTATATAAAGACTAACAATATTTTCCACATCTCAAGGACGATTTTAACCAGTTGATTCTGTGAAACTTTCACAGGAGAGTGCATCAGCCACTTTGTTAGAAGCTCCTGAGATGTGTTGGATGTCGAAATCAAAATCTTGGAGAGCTAAACTCCACTGAAGAAGCTTTTTGTTATTTCCCGTGGTGGTATGAAGCCACCGTAACGCAGCATGGTCAGTTTGCAAGTGGAAACGCCATCCCCAAACATATGGGCATAGCCTTTCCAGAGCGTAGACAATGGCGTAACGTTCTTTTTCACTGACTGACCAGTTGGTTTCTCTCTCAGACAGCTTCTTGCTGAGAAACACTACAGGGTGGAATTCTTGATCTGGTCCTTCCTGCATTAAAACTGCTCACACACCACGCTCGGACACATCTGTGGTTACTAGGAACGGTTTGTCAAAGTCTGGGGCCCTTAGTACAGGGTCAGACATAAGTGTCGCTTTAAGCTGGTTAAAGGCCTTCTGACACTCTTTGGTCCACTGAACGGCATTTGACTGTTTTTTTGGTTAGGTTTGTCAGTGGGGCGGCGATTTGGCTGTATTGCGGTACAAATAGTTTGTAATAACTGGCCAAGCCTAAGAAGGATTGAACCTATTTCTTTGACTTTGGGACAGGCCACTTTTGGATAGCATCCACTTTGGCCTGTAGGGGGTTGATAGTTCTTTGACCCACCTGGTGTCCAAGGTAAGTCACTCTGTTTAGGCCTATTTGACACTTCTTAGCCTTAACAGTTAGTCCTGCCTCCCTTATGCGCTCGAAGACTTTTTGTAGATGTTCCAGGTTTTCTGCCCAGGAATCCGAAAATATGGCCACATCGTCAAGGTAGGCAACTGCATATTCTCCTAGTCCCGCAAGGAGACCATCTACAAGTCTTTGGAAGGTGGCGGTGCATTCCGCAGCCCGAAAGGGAGTACATTAAATTCATACCACCCGATATGTGTGGTGAAGGCTGACCTTTCCTTGGCGGATTCATTGAGCGGTACCTGCCAGTATCCCTTGGTTAAGTCCAAGGTAGAGATGAACTGGGCCTGTCCCAGTTTCTGTAATCATTCATCTGTGCGTGGCATTGGATAGTTGTCTGGGCGAGTTACAGCATTTAGCTTACGGTAGTCCGCGCAAAAACGTATCTCCCCATCTGGTTTGGGAACTAGAACCACTAGAGATGCCCATGCACTGCCAGAGAGGCGGATTGCACATATCTGTAACATATCCTGGATCTCCTGTTCTATAGCAGTTTTAGCTTGAGGAGACACCCGGTAAGGTTGGACTTTAATTGGGTGAGCATTACGTGTGTCAATGGAGTGGTATGCCCGTTCGGTCAGTCCTGGGGTGGCTGAGAACATCGGATGTAGCTAGTGCACAGCTCCTTGATCTGCTGTCGCTGCATACGCCCAAGGGTCATGGAGAGGTTCACCTCTTCCATGTCACCAGCACTTTTCCCTTCATAGTAGACACCTTCAGGCCACTCAGCGTCATCTCCTCCCTGGGCTGTAAACTGACAAACCTTTAATTCTCTGGAATAAAAGGGCTTTAGAGAATTAATATGGTACACCTTAGGCTTTTGTTTGGAGGTGGGGAATGCCATGAGCTAATTAACAGCTCCCAGGCGTTCCTGGACCATGAATCACCCTTCCCACGATGCTTCCATTTTATGGGCCTGGAGTGCCTTTAAGACCATGACCTGGTCCCCTACTTTGAAGGAACGCTCTCTGGCATGTTTATCATACCAGGCTTTTTGCTCTTTTTGAGCATCCTGTAGGTTTTCTCTAGCAAGGACTAGAGAGGTTCGGAGGATGTTTTGTAGGTTGGTTACAAAGTCCAGAAAGTTAGTTCCTGGAGAAGGTGTAAACCCCTCCCATTGCTGCGTCACCAACTCTAATGGCTCCTTAACCTCACGGCCATATACAAGTTCAAATGGGGAAAACCCTAAACTGGGGTGTGGTACAGCTCTGTAGGCAAAGAGCAACTACTACAACACTAGGTCCCAATCATTGGAGTGCTCATTTACAAATTTACTTATCATGGCCCCCAAAGTTCCATTAAATTTCTCCACCATGCCATTTGTTTGATGGTGGTAAGGAGTGGCAACCAAGTGATTTACCCCATGAGCTTCCCAAAGGCTTTCCATAGTTCCTGCCAGGAAATTAGTTCCTGCATCTGTGAGGATGTCGGAGGGCCAACCTACCCTGGCAAAAATGTCTGCTAGTGCCTGGCACACACTTTTAGCCCTGGTGTTGCTTAGAGCTACTGCTTCCGGCCATCCATGGGTGGCAAAATCCATGAAAGTCAGTATGTACTGCTTTCCTCTGGGTGTCTTTTTCGGAAAAGGATCCAGAATATCCACAGCTACTTGTGAAATGGAACCTCAGTTATGGGGAGTGGCTGGAGAGGGGCTTTGATCTGGTCTTGGGGTTTTCCCACTCTTTGGCATACCTCACAAGACTGGACATAGGTAGAAACATCCTTGCCCATTCCCTCCCAGTGAAATGACCTCCCCAAACGGTCTTTGGTCCTGTTCACACCAGCATGGCCACTAGGATGATCATGGGCTAAGCTCAAGAGCTTGACCTGGTACTTAGTTGGAACTACCACCTGTCTCTGAGGATGCCAGTCTTCCTGGTGTCCACCAGAAAGAGTTTCCTTGTATAAAAGTCCTCTTTCTACAACAAACCTGGATTGATTAGAAGAGCTGAGAGACGGTGAGTTGCTCCGTGCCGCCGTCCAAGCTTTCTGGAGGCTTTCATCTGCTTCCTGTTCGGTCTGGAACTGTTCCCTTGATGCTGGAGACATCAGTTCCTCATTGGATTGTGGACCTATGCTTATTTTATTTATTTCTAGGACACTTTCTCATACGCTTCCTTTGCTTACCCCAGTTCCTCCCAAAAAAGTACATCTACAAGGCAGACTTTCCAAGAAGCTGAATTATGATGCTATATATGTAACTGTGGGTAGAACTGTTCAGTATTTATGTAGCTAATTTCACTGATTCACATTGTAAACCCCCAATATCAATGCGGTGCACCAGCACAAAGTTTGGCCTTAAATTGATGTAGGCCTTGCCTGATGTGGGAAAGCTTTTTCAGAATAACTTAAGTTGTGAATTTAAACCAGTGTGGTTATACTAGTATAACCACTTACATGGACAGTCTTGTCTGGTATAAAAGTTGCTTTTTTAGTTTAGTGTATGTCAGTTGGAAATGTGTGTAAGCTAAACTAAAAACGGGCACTCTATTCTGAAACAAGAGTGCACACTGGATTATATCTTTGAACTTCTGCTGGTTATACAGATGAGCCCTTGCTTTAAGTGCAGTAAACCCTACCTAGTTCATGGATAAGGCTATGTTTTAGTCACAGGTATTTTTAGTAAAAGTCATGGGCAGTAAACAAAAATTCATAGCCCATGACCTGTCTATGGCTTTTACTATATACCCCTAAATAAAACTTAGGCCAGGGGTGCCAGGCACTCTGCGGGGTCGGTCCGGTGGCCCTGGAGGTGCTGGTGAGAGGGGTGGCCCGGGACCCACGATGGTGGTGGGGCGGGCAGTGGTGCACAGCCCAGGACCCCTACTGGCTCTGGGGTGGAGGGTTGGCCGGCTCTGAGCAGCATGTCCCTGCAGCTCCTAGGGGGAGGTGCAGCTGGGGGGGGGGCTCTGCATACTGCTCCCACCATAAGTGCCAGCTCCGCAGCTCCCATTGGCTGGGAACTGACCCACACCCCAGCCCTCTTCTCGAGCCCTGACCCCCCTCCCACACACGGAAACTGCTGCTGGCCCAGGAGCTGCCCTGCTCAGCCAGCCCCCAAGCCAGCACCGGCTGCTGCAGAAGTCACGGAAAGTCACAGAAACTGTGACCTCCATGAGAGACACACAGCCTTATTCATGCAGAATATGTAAAAGGGTTTGCAAAAGTGTAACTAAGTCAATGTAATTTCACCAATACAAATTTTCTTACTGTGGTCAAGATTTTTAGAAATTCACACTTTCAACAGCAACTTACCAACAGTGTAGATCCACACATACCTCTGAACTTGGCTCACTCTGTTTAATTTTCATGCTTAAGCGACAGTAGAGGAATGTATAGAAAGAAAAGTAATTGATAATATGATGTGCAAGGGTGTAGGTTAAGGTAGCCCCTCAGCCTGTTTAAATTTACACCTTTTACAAGCCAAAAAATCTGGAAAATGTTAAACAGTTTATGCTCTTTAATGCATTATGTGGGTGAAAAATAGTTTAAGGGAGTATCACATTACATATTCCTTCCGAATTTTGTCTTGTATCTGAGTCTGTCTAAAAAACCCTGTCTTTATACACAAATAGCTGGACAGTGACTATAGAAACTAATTACATATTATCAAGGAAAAATAATTTGTTCCTCACCTGGTAACTATTTAAAGATAAGACTTGTCTCTTTTAATTTTAGAAGAGCAAAATATGATGGAAAAATCATAAGCAAAAATAGGAAATGGTTCAGTTATGTTGTTTCTATGTGTTAATCTAGTTTTTCAGTAGAAATTACAATCTGAAGAAGAGTTCTGTGTAAATTCGAATATTTGTCTCTCTCACCAACAGAAGATGGTCCAATAAAAGAGAATACCTCACCCACCCTGTCTCTTTAATTTTCTAGGGGACATATAAAAATTATTGCAGACTTGGTTTATTTTTTATACGTTTGTGAGTGGAGTGAAAATTTTTATAATTCTGGATGAATAACTGACATAGTATCTTCACTTAGGTATGAAAAGATTAGTTGGTAGCTTTTGAAAATAAACTATTGTAAAAGTGCAACTACATATTTTAGTCTTAATATTTTGTTCATTGTTTTGTTAAAACAGTTACAATTGACCTGAAGGATAGCTCTTGGACTCAGAATATATTAACCAGTTTGCTGGTTCACAATTCCATTTTTATATGTACATATTTATAATTAGTAAGAATTGTAAAATTGTAACTTTTGCAATATTTTGTTTATTTTAAGCAAACACATCTTTGCTACAAAAGTTAAAGCAAATTTTTTTAATTCTAGATTACTAAAGATGATTTCCTTACATTTGATTATATACTTTGCATGGATGAAAGCAACCTAAGGTAAGGTATGGTAGAATGCTAAGAGAGATTCTGATTTGACTATCTGCTTTTGTAGATGATGATAAATCCAGAAGATGGACTTGATTGCCTAATGTGCAACCTTTTGCCGTTTGTTTTCTTATGAGTTATAATTAGCTTTGGCAGAATTTTATTTCTATATATATAATTTCAACAGATGAGATGTTTATTTTTACGCATTTTTTGCAGTTTATATCTATTTAAATTTTCAGTTGCAGAAAATTATTAGGGTGGGGGGTCAGACAATTATTAAACAATAGACATTGAGATTCAAAAAGTTAAAACTTTATAACCATTAAAACACAAATTGTCAACCTATATCAAAATATACAGAGTAAATATACTTTAAATCAAATTCGAAGTTCTTCTTTGAATAGTATCTCTGTGATGCTCCACATTAGGACTCCTGCGCCTTTGATCAGAGATTTTTGATAGCAGTGCCTTTTCAGCCTAGGCATGGACCGTACAGATCCTCGTGCCCTGTACCGAGACTAAATAGGGCTGAGCAGGCAAACTGCCCTCAGTTCCTTTTCAACTGCCTACGGCCTGAGACTGAGTGTAGGGTGTACTTGTTTGCTTATTTTATTAGTATTTAGCTGTATAATTGGTTAGTAGAGTAGGTTTAGTACCTAATAGTTGGAAAGATGGAGCACTTGTTCCCTTTCTTCTTTCATTAAAAAAAAGAAATGGGGGCGGGTAGGTGGGAGGGAGGAATTAATCATAGACTTTTAAGTCTTAACAAGTCTTAAGAACTGACTTTGCACCTGGGTTCAGAGAACACCCCTCCCCATACAGGGACCACCTTTATCAGTCAGTGCCCTGTTGTCATCAAGATCACTGTCACCAAGAGCTTCCAAGGGGAAGAGAACATCAAAACCTCCATCTCCAACACTTCTTGACTGAGATACCGATAACTGTGCCCCTGGTATCATGAGTTTCCCACTCCAGGTATAAGGAAGGGGAATAAGAGGAGCAAAACATCAGAGTTCTCTCCAAAGAAGATCCAGTCACTAGAGACCTCAGACCCCAAGAGGAGTACTAGTGAGGCTCTGGGTACTTCAGTTACCATGAAGCACATTAAGACTTCATCGAAGTCCCATACCTCAGTGGTAAAGAGCTTTTTACCACCAAGATCACTGTCACAAAAGGACTGGCTTCAATGCAATCCTTGGTACTTACGTCAGTCCTTCACATGACACCTGCAACATCATCGGCACTGGTACCAAGTTCAGTAGCACTTCCAGAACCACAGAAGGACCTTGCAGTACCAACATCAGTACCTCTCATAGGTTCTGCAGAATCACTGGCACAATACCAAGTTCTGTTGTGCTTCCAGTATCACAGGAATTCCTAAACCCGAAAGAGCTTGCGGTACTGAATGAGCTGGAGTCTCCACTCCTTGCAACCTCCGGTCTGCTGAGTCACTGACTGCTCAGGTTTCAGAGTAACAGCCGTGTTAGTCGGTATTCACAAAAAAAAGGAGTACTTGTGGCACCTTAGAGACTAACCAATTTATTTGAGCATAAGCTTTCGTGAGCTACAGCTCACTTCATCGGATGCATACTATGGAAAGTATAGGAGATCTTTCTATACACAAACCATGAAAAAATGGGTGTTTACCACTACAAAAGGTTTTCTCTCCCCCCACCCCACTCTCCTGCTGGTAATAGCTTATCTAAAGTGATCACTTTCCTTACAATGTGTATGATGATCAACTTGGGCCATTTCCAGCACAAATCCAGGTTTTCTTCTCTTCCTCCCCCCCCCCCCCAAACCCACTCTCCTGTTGGTAATAGCTTATCTATTGGCCCAACTTGATTATCATACACATTGTAAGGAGAGTGATCACTTTAGATAAGCTGTTACCAGCAGGAGAGTGGGGGGGGGGGGGAGAGAACTTTTGTAGTGGTAAACACCCATTTTTTCATGGTTTGTGTGTATAAAAATATCTTCTGTACTTTCCACAGTATGCATCCGATGAAGTGAGCTGTAGCTCACAAAAGCTTATGCTCAAATAAATTGGTTAATCTCTAAGGTGCCACAAGTACTCCTGTTCTGACTGCTCAGGTTTATGGGAGATCTACCTCTTCTCCTTCAACTATCCATGAGGAGGGGTTGTCACCTCCCATACAGAATGTGGAGAAGCATTCCAATTCAAAACTTTTGGTTCAAGGATCTCCATTTTTTTCTACCTGTTACTCTCCATTGCAAATGCAACAAAGGCAAGACACCAGAGCCCTGGCTTCCAACAGATGAAGAGACCAATACTGGATCTCCCCCAGTTCCTTATGGTCTCATTGGCTCTACTGGGATCCATGGGCAGTGTACCAGCAATAGTTTTGAGGTACCTCCACTCAGTCCACAGGAAACACAGAAGTCTGTATCCCCCGGTACCATTCCTCTCTCCTCTCCACTCTGAGCCGAAGGGGACCTTTAAGGAGCAAGAGCAGACAAAGAGATTACCCTCACTTACAAAAATCTCATCATCACCTGATGAGGCAGCAAAGGCCATCACTACCATTGCTGGCTGATGACTTTAGGCAATTCCAGGATTTTATTAACTGGGTCACTGACATCCTGCAAATTCCCCTAGAGGAAGGCCCAGGATTTTCATCACAGGCTCTTGAATGTATTGCACACCTCTACCTCAGCACAGGTGGCACTGTCAATTCAATGAAGTCCTCCTTGAGCCAGCCAAGATCATCTGGCAAACTCCAGCAATTCCCTCCCTCCCAGCCCCCTTCACACATGCAAGAGGACTGATTTAAAAAAATACTACGTCCTGGCCAGGGATGCTGAGGTTTTTATTCTCTCACATGGGACCAAACTCTCAGGTTGTGGATGCAGTCAGTGACAGGGACAGGCAGCATATCCAAAAGACCACCCATTATAATAAAGACCAGATGTCTGGACCTGTTTGGCCATAGGAGTATTCATCATCAACACTTCAATTCAGGATAGCTATTCACTGGTGTCAAAATATGATTACCTGAACCATGAGAAGTTTAAGGCTTTTATTGACCATTTACCACAGGAACACTGCGAACAGTTCAGTGCCATAATGAGGGAGGGCCAGCTTTTTTCAAAGACTTTCACAGCATCTAGTGAAACCTGAAATAATGCTGCAGCCAAGTCTGTTTCCATCACAGTAGTGATGAGGTGAGCTTCCTGGCTTCAGTTGTCTGGGTTTCCGTAAGAGCTACAATCTACCATGGGGAATTACCTCTTGATGGCCAGAAGCTTTTTGCAGATTTCACAGACAGCTCACTTCACACCTTAAAAGACTCTTGGGCAAAACTTGGGGCTTTAGGGTATACACACCTGCAAATAACAGAAAATTTAGCAGGTCTCAATTGACAGAGAGATCCTGTCCTGCTCCGTTTTCCACCTTCCATAGCTGGTGGAAACAGTGGTGTGAGGTCCAGATTTTCAAAGATTCTGTTCTGTCAAAAGAATCTTTATCATTACAGCTAGAGAGGGCAGAAAGGGCTCTGTGTGAAAAAGCCACTTTATTATCCTAGGAAAAATAATGGTTGTTTGCTACTATTCACTGTAATTCTGGTAACATGTCTCCCCAGGACCATGTTGAGCTTAATAATTGTGCATGACAATAGCTGACTAATTTGCTAATTTGGATAGCAGTAGCAAAATTTCTCCCTAATTGGGGGATGCATTTGTCCAGGGCCAAGTGGTTAAATGGGTATGAAATTCTAAGCAATGGCCCTCTGAAAGTTCTCAGGATTTAAAGACTAAAAAATAAAGATGAAATTATACAAATCAGTCATAAGTTTTTTCAGATGGTTGTGAATGACCACCTCTTTTACAACCCAATCATGAAACAACTCTCTGTATGACACTTGAATTGACTGATGTGTTAGTCAGTGCCTAAATGATATACTTAGGTGATTTACTTCCAGTTTCATTTAAACTCTTAATTTTATATTGGTGTCCTTTACACTTACCAAGATGTCAGTGACACAGTGAAAAGAGCTGTACTGAAGCAAGTGGAAAAAATATTGGAAGTGTAGAACTGGAGTGATTTCAAAAGATCTTAACATTACTTGGGAGAACTGAAATTCATTCTGGCTCCTGCCAGGGAAGCAGCCCAACAGTGGGAAGAGGACTCTGCACCCAGCCACCTCTGCCATCTACGCTACCATTCTAGATCTCAGATTTCGGCCCCAGTATCGTCCAGCTTTCCCTAGGAACAGCCTTGTGGTGCTCGAAGTTGTTCTACCACAGTGCCTGGGATGGCAGACTCATTCTATCTGCTGGCATACTACCAGCAGCGGGAGGAAAGGGGATACCTTCACAGGTTTGGGAGCCTTTCGTTCCACACATGCCCCAGAATCAGAGCACTCTGCTTGCTTCTGTTGAGGTGTGTTGAGAGTCCTAAAGTGAGACTGGCTAGCCATTGTGATTGGTATTGGGTCAGGTTTTATATAAGAACTTTAGTATTACAGCATAGGGCTCTCAACATACCTTTTCAACAGAAGCAAGCGGAATGATCAGAAGTGCTCGTCCACATGTTTACAAACACTGATGGGAAGAAAGACTTTGTTTAGCATTTCAGCAATCAATGTAATATGAATACAACAGAAGAATTTTTTAAATGAATTGAAGGCAGAGCTAAGAGAATTTACAAAAACAGAACAATTGAAGTAGCATTTCATGGACACCTGGAAGAAGCTTACTCATATTTTTAAGAAATATATTGACTATGTTCCAGAGAGACTTTTGTATAATGAAAGCTAAAGGGAGACACTGAAAATAATGCATAAAATGACGGGAGAAAAAAATTTTAAACTTTTTTTAGTGACTGAAGCCAAATTAAGGTCATTGTCGAGAACCCAATTGCTTGATTTATTTGTTTTCCAGTTAGTCTTCATTTTATATAGATGACCTTGACATTTAACAAAAGTAAGCAACAACATAGAGTACACAGCACTGTGAAAGTATTGCAGCTCTTTCATCTTCATTCATACCCTGTAAACTTTCTAGAATGATTGAATTTATAATGCTGATTCTAAATGGAGCAGACACCACCATTGCCATAAAAACAGTGGTTCAAAATTGCTTCTTTTTTACTTTACAGAGATCTGAAAAGAAAAAGTAATCAAGTTAAAAACTGTACAGCTAAAATTGAACTACTTGGGTGCTATGATCCACAGAAACAGCTTATTATTGAAGATCCATACTATGTAAGTATCACAAATTGAGTTGAGAACTTTTAAACGTTAATATGTATGTATGATTGTAAAACAAACACAATTTTAAAAGTAGCTGTTGAAGACTTAAATCTGGGTGGCTAGATATTTTTACCCTTTCTTTTTCTTATCTTTTTCCAGGGAAATGAAAAAGACTTTGAGACTGTTTATGAGCAGTGTGTTAGATGCTGTAAGGCATTTTTGGAGAAGTCTCATTAGTGCCACGCTATTTTATTTCTAAAAGGAAATAATATTTAGCTCCTTCTTTGAAGTGTTATATAAATTTCAATTGATTGATGTATTTAAAATGTAATATTGTATCTCTGCGGTAAATCCTAATTGCAGCTTCTTAATTTTAGTTTTGTATTGTAGCTACTCTATGGCCTAACTCAGAAGAATTTGGAAAAGTTTTAAAAATTGTATTTGAGGATCAGCCATTTTGTCAGGCATCAGTGTAACAATGTATTTCATTCAGAGATCAGCAGAATAAATATGTTTTATGAACTCTTTCAGTGTCTAAGTACTATAAAATTAACGTTTTGCTTTTTTTGTGTGTAATACAAACTTACATTCTTGTACATATATCCCATTTAAGAATTCTTAAAAAGGGATTTGAGAAACAGAAGCTTTAATGTTTTGACACAGATTTACATATATTGAGCATTAACTGATGAATGCTGTATTTTTCAACAAAAATAGCTGCATCCTTCAGGACTGTTTATTTCAGACAAGGCTGACTTTGCTGCAGACAAGTCTGTGGATACTTAACCCATTATCAGACGCTTCAGCTGTCATCCTGTCCAGCACAAGTCGCTAGAGTTGGGATTGTATAAAAGCTGGGTAGCATTTGCAAACTTCTGCAGTCCTAAAGCTGGAGTTAACTTCCCAATACATAAACTAATGGGAACATTGACCAGTTCCTTGTACTTCCCTGACATCTAAGCCTCTCTTTCCCTTAGATAAATAGTTGCCTGCTGCCGAGTAAGAATTGAGGGAATTTTTTTCTCTGCAACCTTTCAAATATCTCCCCTCTGTTTCTTAATCAAAAACCAGATCACCAATCCGTGTTCTAATCTCCTGCTTCAACTGCTGCAATCTCTTCCTGGTCTTTTTGGATCCCCACAACGCCAGGCTTGCTCTGCCTTTCATATAGCACTTTCAAAGGGCTCGGGATCTTCTTTAATGCTTGGAATGCCCTGGTACACTTTCACCCAGCTGGTACACTTTAACCCAGATTCATTCACTCCTTGATTTGTTCAAGTTTCTCCTAAAAACTCACTTCTGCTGGCTGGCCTATGGAAAATCAAGGGGGATGAAAAGTGTTAAAATAAATACTAAATTTTTAAAATCCTTCATGAACGATACATCCCTTTCTGAGTTACCACACGTTTTTGATGTTCACCCTTCTTCCTCTGCCCTTCCCACCTTTTGTTATGTCTCAGTTGTTGAAATCAGGCTGCATGTTTTTTGGGACAGAGGCCACATCTTAATTTGTAAAGTAGAGCACACGTTGGCATCCTCAGAAAATGAGTGACTCCCCTGACTGAAGATAAGCTGCCAGACTCCATCCCCTCCACATAGTTTTTTTTTTTTTTTAGAGCGATGCACCTGAAAGTTTACAGTTTATCTTGACATTCTTTCAAAGCTCAGCCAAGCAGAGCTTTTCAAGATAAAGTAGTACAATATAAAAACATAACTGAGATTCATATTTTGATCTAGCAATATTAACCTATTCAAGTCAAAACTGTAGCTGAAAATGAAATCTCTCATAATCCCTGTCTCTGTTAATAGCCAGTGTCACTGAACGCTGTTCAAAGGAGAGTAGGTGGCACATCAAAAGTATGCATTTGAAAGCTCAGTTTTAAACTAAAGACAACAGGCCTCACAATACTAGTGTGGGGTTACTCCATGGGGAGGTAGTTCTGCTCTGTCCTGAGAAAGTTCAATTAATGTAAAAACTTACCCATGTGGGCATGTTTGACCATCGCCCTAGCCGGTGTTCAACACAAACTTCTGTTCCAGGCTTATATGAAAGAATTAAAGGGGAAAACAGTTACTTTTATATGTTAATATAACATCTATGTGCATGGTTGCAGAGTGATAGCTGTTTTAGTCTGTATCAGCAAAAAGAACGAGGAGTACTTCTGGCACCTTAGAGACTAACTAATTTTTATTAAATATTTATAATATATATTTATAAATTTATTTAAATAAATTTGTTAGTCTCTAAGGTGCCACAAGTACTCCTAGTTCTGTGTGCATGAATTTATAACCATGTGTTTCTATAAAATTCAGGTTCTTAAGGAAAATTTGTATGTCCAGTAGTTGAATACCAGTCCAGCATTAGGTGACTTGATAATAGGGGACCAACTAAAGTAATGCTGTAATAGATGCATTTGTCTCTGTAGCTGAGTGTGTGGGGGCCTGCAATTTTTGTCAGCTTCTCCGCTCACAATGCCTCCTGTCAGCTGCTGCGCTCATCAGGCAGGTTTTCAGTGACTCAGATCTCCGGCTGAGTCATTCACAATCAGTATGCAAAACAAACAAACCCCTTCTAGGGTACAGAGTCCAAAATGTCTTGCAGCCCTGTCTGGGCTCAGTCTTCTAACAGTCCAACACGGTCCATCGCGGTACCCTCTCCACTGGTGTCAACCTGCAGCCATCCCTGGGCTCAGGCCCTTAATTAATCCAACAGGGGCCTATCGCAGTACCCCATCAGCTGGTACGTCTTCCTGTAGCCCTCCCGGGACTCAGTCTTCAGTCTGACCAACAGGGCCTATCTCAGTATCCTAGCTGGCCAGTTTACATGTGAAGGTTCCTGCTCTGAGATACAGCAATGCTTCCTGGACTTTCTCCCTGGAGACTCTTCGCCTATCCTTTAGTCCTCTGACCCCAGCTCTTCAGCTGGGTCAGGCTCAGTTCAGTACCTTCTGGGCACAGGTAACAGTTCCACATACAGTGCCTTCCCTCGGTCTGCTTAAACTCCCTTCTCTCAAGGCATAGCCCAGTGGTTCTCAAACTTCTGTACTGGTGACCCCTTTCACATAGCAAGTCTCTAAGGCCTGGTCTACACTGGGTGGGGATCGCTCTAAGATATGCAATTTCAGCTACGAGAATAGCATAGCTGAAGTCGATGTATCTTAGATCGACTTAGAATCACTTGCTTCACGTCCTCGTGGCACGGGATCGACGGCCGCCGCTCCCCCGTCGACTCCACTTCCGCCTCTCACCCTGGTGGAGTTCCGGAGCGATTGGGGATCGATTTATCGCGTCTACACTAGACGCAATAAATCGATCGCTGATAGATCGATCACTACCCGCTGATCCGAAGTGTGGATGCGCCCCCCCCCTTTCTAAATTAAAAAGAATTTTTAATATATTTAACACCATTATAAATGCTGGAGGCAAAGCGGAGTTTGGGGTGGAGGCTGACAGCTCACGACCCCCCCCCATGTAATAACCTTGCGACCCCCTGAAAGGTCCTCACCCCCCAGTTTGAGAACCACAGTCATCGCCACTTCTCTGGTGGCTGTTTGGGAGGGAGGACCTGGGCCCACCCACTACTCTGGGCCCCAAGCCAGGGACCATCTAAATAGTAACCATGTCCCTCTAACTGTGTTTCCTTTGGCCACTTCCCTACAGCCCTTGTCTTCTATGCGTCCCAGCAGGCAGCCAAGAGCATCTTCCTTTCTCCTCGGCCCCTGCCATCAGCTGCTCTGTCCAGCCTTTCAGCTTCTGTAGTCAGCCAGAAGTACCTCTTACTCTCCCAGTCCCTACCAGCTGACTGAATTCACTTTGGGTCTGCAGCTCTTTTTATCCTAATCTGCTGGGCTTTGATTGACTGCTTCCTGCAACCTCTTTCCTGATTGGCTGTGTCCCATGCAGCCTCTCTAGGCAGCTTGGAGGGATCCTTTCCACTGCCCTTTTTCTGAGGCAAGTGTGGCAGGACCTTGAGGCTTCCAGCAGAGGCCTCTGGGCCTAGTCTACCCCATCACAGTCTCTCAGAAGTTTTCATTTTGTATTAAATTTTCAACATCTTTTCCTTTCAGATCTGGTCAGTTTCCCATTGTTGTAAATGGGACTCTACCTTTAACTATGTATAAAATTGGAAGTGGCAGGACAAAATATCATGGCCCCAATTCAAGAGTGCATCCCTTTTCAGGAAGAGTGCTCAATGTGCTTAAAAGCTTGGATTAACATTGCATTTAAAAAGAAGACTTGTTTGCAGAAGGTGAAAGAGTAGTAAATGGCTAGCCTTCATGGGAGGACAGTTGCACAATGGCATTATACAAACATACATGTGCAAGATGAGCAACTGACAAGAAGAAAATGCACTAATAATTATCCATAAAGATGACTGGTTACAGGTCTAAATTTTCTCAACTTTTAGGAAAATATTGTGCCAAATGGACAAATACAGAATTTCCTCTACCTCTTCTTTTTCTATCTGCAGCTGCTCACCTTAAGTAGATGAAAAGATATGTTTAGATCTAGTCAGGCAGCCTCTCTGAGTGCCCTAACCACTGCACTATAGAGTGATTTGCTGTAGCCCAATTAATATTTTAATTATTTAATTAAAGTGGAACAGCTTCAGCAAGAGACAGAATGAGACCCACACAAGAGTATCACTTCCAGTGGCTAGGGCACTCATCATACTGGTAGAGAACATCACTTCTAATCAGGGAAAATAATTGAAGAATTGAACAGGGGTCTCTCACATTCTGAGGTGAGTATGTAACCACTGGGCTAAAGGTTATAAGGAAGGTCCTCTCCCCTGCCCCATTTTGTGTGGTGTTAAGCAGCCTCTAAGGTTGCCTACTGGGTCAGGCCCTGCAGGCAAGATAGATGCTCCCCAGGTTTATGGATTATTTTGGGGCGTAGCAATGAGACAGGTGTTTGGAGGCCTAAAGTGAAGCAGCATGCCCAGAAGCAGAAATTTAGGCGCCTAGAAAACTTTTACAGCAAAACTTTAGGTTCTGAGCAAGTTTTCATACCTACAGGGTTAGGCAGAAGCCAAGCAGAGTTTTTGTGGATCGCAGTAGCTCCTAAAACTGAGACTTGGGTCCCTTTGTGGATCTGGCCCTAAATGTGTTGTATAGGAGCCCATTATTCTCTCAGCTGAACTTTTTGTTACAAATGTAGTAAGAACTGTCGATGACAGTTGACATGTTAATGCCTCATGAGGTCACATAAATCAATGGTTATCTACCACATTCCTCTGGGTTCCTGGGGGTTCATCAGCTCATCTAGATATTTGCTAGTGGCTACATAAAAAGCACTAGCAAAGTCAGTACAAACTAAAATTTCATACGGACAATGACTTACTTATACTGCTTTATATACTATAAACTGAAATGTAAGTACAATATTTATATTCCAATTGATTTATTTTATAATTATATGGTAAAAATTAGAAGGTAAGCAATTTTTCAGTAATAGTGTGCTGTGACACTTTTGTATTTTTATCTCTGATTTGGTAAGCAATTAATTTTTAAGCGAGGTGAAACTTGGGGTACGCAAGACAAATCAGACTCCTGAAAGGGGTACAGTAGCCTGGAAAGGTTGGGAAACACTGATATAAATCACATAATATGGATTTCTCTTACTAAAAGAAGCCTGAGGAGGTTAGGTGCTCAAATCCAATTGGGGTTTTGATGGGATATGGACACCTTTAATTCTTTTACTTAAGAATACTGGGGAATATTTGCTTGGCATCTTATGTGACCAACAACAAAACTTCCTTGGAATTCCTAAAAATAATAGATGAAGATTCTTTAACACAAAGTCCTGCACCCAGCAAAGGATAACTCAATATTAGATCTCATTCTGATGGACAAAGAGTTAATTACCAGTTGTTGGTAAATTGCATAGTCAATTGCTTGACCACACTTTGGTTTGTTATAAAATATACTCAAGAGACCAAATAACCAATGTCAGTCAGGTTTGTTGCTATAAGCCAATAATAACATACTACAGGAAAAAGGTTCTATATGATGCCAGTGTCTGGGAAGCCCTCTTGTGCAGAGATGTTACATTCACCTTTAGCGTAAGATGTGCTCCCAAAGTTATACATTTTAGATGGTATTATTTATATGATTTCACAGTTTACACATCTCTTTACACATCGCTAAAATCCAACCCATCAGTTTGTCCCAATTCCTTAACTTATTGTTCTGTTCCTTCCTATCTTTATTTTGGACTAGCATTCCGGGTACTGGTCCATGAAGGTATTTCCCTAGTTTGTATTAAGACATAAAATGAATGTATCTTGATTTTTTGACAGGTTTCCTGTCTGCTTAGACCATATTCTTACTTCAGCAACTGCAAAGAGTTATGAGATACCTAGCATAAGTGAACAGGATTATGGTATAGACCAGTTTATGCTATATTACTGTTACAATATTTGTGCTTAATACATACTAATACGTATTCATGTGGTGTGGATAACACGTTATTAATCTGACATATAATATGCTAGCCAGCATACATACTTTTTGCTGGCCTAAAAATTAGCACTTATGGTGTCAGCGGTCATGATGTGGTTCTATGTGCTTTGTGGGGGCACCAACCAATAATGCGCATATTTGGATCTTCAAATGGCCAGTTTTCAAAAGTTTAAGCACAACTGACTGGGAACATAAATTTAAGTGGGAAGTGTCAGTGGAGGTGGTGGATTCACTGTTGTTTGGAGCCTTGAAGAAAGATATTTTTCTGAAAGGTATGTTTGAAGTCAGTTTCTGGGAGAATTCAGGTTCAGGATGTCAGGCTAGCTAGTCATGGTGATGCCATCTGGCCTTGGAATCTGTGAATCTATGAATCTCCCTGTTGTTAATCTCCTTCCTTCATAGGCCTTGGGGAGAACAGGCTTGCTTACATTGTCTTCAGTTTGCTCATAACACTATTGCTCTGTATTTGATAATGATTATAATCTAATCTCATGCAGCAGGGCTTCAATTGGTCACCTGCAGGGGGTCAGGAAGGAATTTCCCCCCCAAATCAGTTGTCATGGGTAAAGGGGTCATCTTCCCCTGATGCATCAGAGATATGCCACAGCTAGATGCAGGTTCCTAGTTAGGGTGGACATGCACTCTGATTTGATACACATAATTTTCTGTCTCAGATGACTGGCTAGTGTGTCTTCCTCAGCTGCCTAGGGTGTAACTGATCACAAGAATTTCCCCAAAGTCAGTTCGGCAGGAACCTTGAAGACTTTTTGTCATCCTTTGCAGCCTGGGGTGTGGTTTGCCTTCTAGGGTCATCTGAGCATATCTCTCCTAATCAGTTTTGTGGCATGGCATTGGTGGCACCTTGGTATCTCCTATTCACTGCCTGTGGCACACATTAGTTTAGTCTCCTGAGGACTCAAGTACTTTGGTTTAATTGACTTTGTTGGGCTCAACATAGGGTATTTAGATGGAATTTAATAGTGTGAGGTATGCAGGAGGTCAGACAAGATGATCTAAAGGTCCTTTCTGGCCTTAAACTCTATGAAAATCTTAGTCCCAGTTACTTGTATCATACTCAAAGGTTTTATACCATACAGTCTAATATGATTTAAAGGACTTGTGTAAAATAGATGGTTATTTGAAAGAAAGCTTAAGTGTCAAAACTTGTGTGTCTGGAGTGCATTTATTAGAAATGCTCCATAGTGTGTGGTTTTTGGTTTGGGTTTTTTGGTCATAAATAAAATGACCCATGCACCAGATGTGTTGGGTAGGTGATTTTAAAGAAAAGTGAAATTCATAGTGAGACCTCCTGATGCAGTCTTCGTTTAACCTTTTCACAGGTTACGCTCCTGATATAGTTTTGCATTGGATTTTATTATAATTTACGGATTATTTTGCTCTAAAACATCATGAGTAACCACATGAAATCCATTAGTTTGTGAAAACCATTGTTCTAAAGGGACATTTAAAGAATACACATTGAAGATCATGTAATATATCAAACACTTTATTACTTATGTTTGTTATTTACAGTATTTACATATTGCACGTTAGCTGGAATGTTTACACATTTATTGAACAGAAAACTAATGGCATATTTGTGTGTGTATGCAAAATCCACACTCCTCTGTCTTGAGAAAACATGTTCACTTGGAATTGTGTTTTGTATTTGTCATGCAATTTGTAACTTGTACTCCAAGGGTACAATGTGACCCTCCAACATGTTTGTTTTATCCAAAATCTCTCTTAATTGCATAAGCATGAAGAATATCAAGTGAAAACCACTGCTGTGGAGTAGATTCATTAAGAGTTCTGGGTATATAAACAAACATCCCTCCAAGTCTCAGAATTCAGCAACAGAACATTAATTTCTGGCTGAAGGGTACATGTTCATGTAATTTTTGGCAGCACTACATATCAAATGTGGAGTGTACTTTTAAGTATGGAGCAGTAAGTACTACTGGCAGTTATACTACTGTAAAGAATGTAGATCTGCAAACTGTTGAAAACATACAAAACAGTTAAAAGAATTATGGGAAATAGTCTGTCAATCTGCAAAAATAAACCCTCTTGTTCACAATGGAATATGTTATAAAGGTATTAAGTTCTATTTCCCTGTTGGTTTCCAAGGCACTTCTCCTGGTTCTTGGTGTGTCTTTTCTGTATGGTGAAATCTGTTTAAAAAAAAAGTTGCCTTTTATCATTTTCATATTTTAATTCAGCTGTTTAAAATGCATCTGGCAGATTGAATAGCGTTAGTAAATAAAGATTTTTGCAACAACTGTCTCTGGAAAATCTGGTAGTACATTTCTTGTTCTGTTCATATCGCACTACTCACTAACGAAACCTTACAGATTAGTGTTTTGGAAAAGCATCCTTCTTTGTGGTATTCCTATCTCTTTGATGCTCTATGCCTGGAAAACAGATTTTGAAAACTACAAAATTCCACTGTTTTAAATATTTAATACTTTAAGCTTAGTTTTTCAGAATAAATCAATTTCTAAATGCAGTAGTGAAATCAAAATCTGAATACATATCAACAATGCTATTAACGTTCTGTCATTTTTGTAGTCTTAAAATCTCACTACCAATATAGTTTTGGCATAAGGTCTGCCCACGTAGATCCAATGGCAGGATCAAGATTGAGGAGCCTAGGCATGCTCCCATTGAGGCAAAAACTAACAGTAAAATTATTTAAATACAGCAGAAGCAGGAAGCCTGCCAAGCAGGCAGTGGGACCACTAATCGACAGAGATGTTAAAGGGAGCACTCAATACACGGCCATTGCAGAAAAGCTAAATTAACTCTTTGCATCGGTCTTCACTGCAGCAGATGTGGGGGGAGATGCCCAAAAAGAATAGCTCTGGTGTGGGTAACAAATCTGAAGAACCGTCCCAAATTGTGTTAGTAGGAAAGGTTTTAGAACACATTGATCGACTAAACAGTAAATCACCAGGACCAGATGGTATTCACCCAAGAGTTCTGAAGGAACTCAAATATGAAATTGCAGAACTAGTAACAAAATTACTGATATCCACCTCTGTGCCCGGTGGCTAATGTAATGCTGGGCGTCAGAGGAGATTATGGAAATTACAAACCAGTAAACCTAACCTGTGTATCAAGCAAACTAGCAGAAACTATAAGAACAGAATTATCAAAGGGTCATCACAACTTTTGTAAAGGGAAGTCATGCCACACTAATCTATTAGAATTATTTGAGGGAAGAGACAAGCATGTGGATAAGCATGATCTAGTTTATATAGTGTGCCTGGATTTTCAGAAAGCCTTTGACAAGATCTTTCAGGCTTTTAAAGAAATAAAAGTAGCCATGGGATAAGAGGGAAATTCCTCACATGGATCGTAACTGGTTGACATACAAAAGAAAGGGTAGAAATAAATGAATGGTCAGTTTTCACAAAAGAGAGGTGAACAGTAGGGTCCCTCAGAGTTCTGTAGTGCGACCTGTGCTGTTTATCATATTGATTAATGATCTGGAAGGGGGATGAACAGTGAAATAGCAAAGTTTGCAGACTATACAAAATTATTCAAGGTAGTTAAGTCCAAAGCAGACTGTGAGAAATTAGAGGGATCTCACAAAATTGGGTGACTGGGCAACAAAATATCAAATTCAGTGTTGATAAATGCAAAGTAGTGCATATTGAAAAAAATAATCCCAACTGTACACATACAGTAATGGGTTCTAAATTAGCTATTTCCAGCCAAGAAAGATTTTGGATAGTTCTCTGAAAACTTCTGCTCAATGCTCAACAGCAGTGAAAAAGGTTAGGAACTATTGGGAAAGGCATAGAAAATAAGACAGAAAATATCCTAATGCCACTATATAAATCCATTGTATGCCCACACCTTGAATAATGAGTGCATTTCTGGTCATCCTGTTTCAAAAAAGGTATATTTGAATTGGAAAAGAGACCGAGAAGGGCAACAGAGATGATCACGGGTATGGAACAGCTTCCATACGAGGAGACAACCCCATGTTCAGAGTGACCCAAAAACTCTGACTACCAAAAGCCAGGAGTGGAATACAGGGGTGGATCACTCCATAATTGCCCTGTTCTGTTACACTCCCCCTGAAGCTCTAATATGGGCCACTGTCAGAGATAGGATACCGGTCAAGATAGATCACTGAGTTAGTGTGGCAGCTCTTATGATTAGGAGTTTTTTTACTCAGTTCAAAGAAAAGATCTTGAGAGATGACAGCAAAAAATTTAGTATTGTGTTTTGAGACCTAGTCTTACTAGTATAGTCTGACTACAGTGGGACAACTCAAGTAGGAATTGTAACAGTGGGCCTTTTATTTGCTGGAAATCTACCCCACCCCCCCACCCCCCAGCAAATTATAGAATGTTAGTATTAACCCTTCTCTGAACATCTCCTGAGAAGTAATGACTAATACTGAATCATATTGAATCCTGGTAGCTGAATAATGTAGATACTACCTAATGGGCTAGAAATGTTAAGTCAAAAGTAGTTGAGATATGGAAGCTTATCAAAACACTTATCTCTGAGTGGTATTTATTTACCATCAGACTTAAAGTTGTAATTATGCATAGCATTGTAACTACTGTGAAGTTTAGTATTATCTCCATGATGCAGCTTTGCAGGCAAAGCAACAGTATGCATTTTAATGGATATTTATTACAAAATGAGAGGTTCATAGAATATCAGGGTTGGAAGGGACCTCAGGAGGTCATCTAGTCCAACCCCCTGCTCAAAGCAGGACCAATCCCCAATTTTTGCCCCATATCCCTAAATGGCCCCCTCAAGGATTGAACTCACAACCCTGGGTTTAGCAGGCCAAAGCTCAAACCACTGAGCTATCCCTCCCCCACAAACTGGTTAACTGGTGTATTTTATTTTTCCATGTTCTCAAGTTATTTTTATGTCTAATTTTAAGGGTCTAATATTTTAAAGCTTGTCTACACACAAACCAGGACCAAAATAATTAAATTACTTTTAATTCACATATTTTCATTATATTGGTACAAGTCTGTGTTGACACTCTATTTTCAGTTGAGTATCCTATTTTGATGTTAACTCAAGTCAGTAAAAAATTAACTTTGCATCAAAATAGCAGGATTGTAAACCTTTTGCAGCAATGGCTTTCATGTTCTACATTTGTACACAGTGGAGTTCTGGTCCTTGACTGGGATTTTTAGGTGCTACCACAATACAAATAATTAATAAAACCCAGTTTAGTTATTTTGGTTTCACTGTGTGTGTAGACAGGCCCTTCTAATTGAATGTGGCTTTTTCATTCTAAGTTATTTTCAGTGGCTCATAATCACTAGGAAAAAATTAGCTGAAAATGCATGCTGCTTCTAAACCCCAAAGTGATTTTTTTTTTTAATTTTTTTGGTGAGGTTAAAAATTTTTTTTTTCTAAGCATGAAAAAACTTTGTTTAATAAAATTGAGGCATTTTCCATTGAGAACTCAGACAGGGGAATTTAAAATGTTTAACTTGGCATATAAATTGCTAATCAGGAATTTGTGCTTTGCTAAGTTTGAAAAATAGGAAATAGTGTATAGCACACAGTTACTAATTTAAGTGTGCATTGTGACTGATATGCCATATCAGTTGGAGACCTTACTGAATTAAGTTTAGGTATGTTGGAGTCCATTATATTAAATGCAAATGTATTGTGGACTGGAATTGTATGGAATCTCTCTAGGAGGGAAAGTGTGATATGAGGCCTGGGATTTCAAAGAACTATACTGAAAATGTGCCAGACAAGAATGAACTATGGGATAAATGTAAAATGGATTTCCTGGAGAATACTGAAAGCGAGGTTAATGCAAATTCCTTACATCTGGTTATGCAATAAGCTGTCCTTTTTTGAAGTTACACGCTGAGGTCATTATCTGCTAATTACTTGTTTCTGGAGACTGGAGATCAAAGGTCTTAACAGTATAAAGAAACAACTGAACTGCCCACCCTGGGTTCAGGTTTGGAATCGGAGACAGTTACGAACTTGAAACAACAGGGAGAACCCAGTTGTGGTGGGTTTTGAAGGATTCATATCTACCAGAGCCTGAGGTTGGAATGGGGGTGACCTCTGGTAAACTTTTTAGCATGCATGTAGGTTTTGTTTTGTTTTTTGGTAATACTTTCTCTGTAATGCTTTCACCTTAAGTGTGCTTGCTTAGAAAGAGCTGTGTGGTAATTTATAATTGCGGGCAATGCACTGGGCATAGCTTCTGGAGAGAAAGCAAAGCACAGATGCTAGCCTTTTAAGCAGTCTGTCTTCCTGTGGATATCATAGTATAGGCAGGGAACTGCAGCTTTAAAGAACCCCTGATCAGGAAAGAATGAGACGCGGCTCTCTGCCCAAGAGACATGACTGCTAGGAGCTGGAAACCTTTAAGTGGGTGTCCTTAATGGACCACGGGGGGGCGCGGGAAATAGGTGCAGCTTCCTTGAAACTGATAGGTGTAGAGTGGGATTTTCAGACTTACATGTGTGTTTGTCTGGATATCTTATTAGACTTTGAGGATGTCTGATGCTCTATGCTGAGGCACATCACACCTTCATTCCTGTTTCCCCTACCTTTTCAGAAACCCACTTAAGGGGCCAAAAATTGGCTAGTAGTTACCTTCCTCTGATATCCTAATGCTGCAGAATTCCCCACATCTTTGAAATTTTGAACTAGACTGCTGCAAGCAACTAAATACCTCAACTTTGCTATAGACTAGGACTCGGCTGAGAGAACACTTAGGACTCCTGTACGCTGACAGTGCTTACTGAACATGCTTTTTACTTTTTCTCCCATTGGCTTAAATACTCCACCTCTTTGAGAGGCAGTAGCTATGTTGACTGGAGAAGCCCTCCCATTGACATAGCGCTTTCTACACCGCTGGGTGACATAGTTATACCGACATAAGTTTGTAATGTAGACCAGGGCTCAGTCTGTCATTCTGCTGGAGACCCTGAATGCCCTTTGACTGCAAAATCAAATAGGCCACTTTCATTTCATCCTTTATTTCCTTTTATATTACAAGAAACTATATTCAGCATGATGGTTAAGATTTAAGCAGCACCAAAAATCAAGAAATTTAAAGTTATGCTGCCATAGCATCCTGTTATCCATCCAGCATGACTGACTACACAGAACCTGGTTCAGTGATGAGCTGTGACAGGTAAAATAGAATTGTAGG